ATAATGTGTATATAATTCAGAATGCTTATTCATGCATCCTGATGCTGTATTTTTAATTATAAGAAACATTAATTTTAAAATCATCCTTCTTAGAAAAACGAAGTTCTAAGTTCATTCAAAATTTTACACATAAATGGAATTCTACTTCATCATCAGTTATTATCTTTACATATAATTCCTATATCTGATCAGGAAAACAATCCCAACTACAATAGCCTCAAAAATAAATAAAATAAATAAAAATAAATAAATAAATAAATTTAAAAACACCTGGGAATAAACCTACACAAAGAGGTGAGAGAACTCTACAATGAAAACTATAGAAATCTAAAGAAAGAAATTGAACAAGACACTAGAAGACTGAAAGAACTCCCATGCTCATGGATAGGCCAAAATAATACTGTCAGAATGATGGTGCTACCAAATACAATATAGAGATGCAATGCAAACCCCATTAAATACCATGGGCATTCATCCCAGAATTTAGAAAAAAAATGTCCTAAAATTCATATGTAAGAGTAAGAGACCTACAGTAGCCAAGTGGGAAAAAGGAAAAACAGCTATTCTGGGGGCATCACAATACCTGACCTCAAATTATATTAAAGAGCTACAGTAACAGAAACAGCATGGTACTGGCATAAAATGAGATGCATAGACCAATGAGAAAGACTGGAGACACAGAAAAGACCATACAGACACAATCATCTCATTGTTGACAAACATACTAAAAAGATATGTTGCAGAAAACGTAGCCTTTTTAATAAATGGTGATGGAAAACTGGATATCCATGTGTAGAAGAATGAGGTTAGATATCTCTCACCCTGCAAAAAATAAATAAATAAATAAAATCCTCAAAAATGTGTCAGCAATGAATTAAACCAGAAAATATGCAACTGCTAGAAGAAAGCATAGGGTCAACACTCCAACATATAAGTGCAGGCAATGATATTCACAAAGGATTCCTAAGACTCAGGAAACAATACCAATTGTAAATAAATGGGATGACACCAATAAAAAAAAAAAAAAAAAAAAACATTTGCAACAATCTAAAAGGAATCAATTAAAAAGGAAAGAAAGAATCTACAGAATGAGAGAAAAATTTTGCTAGCTACTCTTCTGACAAAGGACTAATATTCAAAACATATGAAGAACTAAAAAAAATAACAACAAAAATGAAGTAATATCCCATTTAATAAATGAACAAATAAACTAAACAGGCATTAATCTAAAGGAGAAATCTAAATGGCCAATAAACACATAAAAAATCTGCAGCATCCCTAGCTATTCAGAAAAATTCAAATCAAAACTACACTGAGAATTCATCTCACCCCAGTTAGAGTGCCTACTATCAAGAATATAAACAATAATAAATGTTGGAGAGCATGTAGAGAAAAAGGAAGAGTTTGACACTGTTGGTGGGAATACAAATTAGTACCACCAACCACCTTAGAAACCAATACGGAGGTCTCACAAAAGACCAAGGATGAAACCAATATATGACCCAGCTATACCACACCTGGGAATTTATTCTAAAGAATTAAAGACATCCCACTATAGCAATACATGCATACCCATGTTTATAGCAGCACAATTCACAATAGACAAACTATGGAGCCACCTAGGTGATTATCAGTGGATGAGTAGATAAAGAAAACATGGTGTGTGTGTGTGTGTGTGTGTGTGTGAGTGTGTGTGTGTGTGTGTGTGTGTGTATATATACTGAAGTTTTTATAAAGTCATAAAGGAGACTGAAATTATGTCATTTACAGGAAAATTGATGGAAGTTGAGAACATTAGGTTAGGTGAAATAAGCCAAATTCAGAAAGTGAAGGGTCATATGTTTTCTCTCACATGTGGAAGCTACAGACAAAAAGTAAAAGAAAGTTTGGGGTGGAGATCTCATGAAAATTGAAGGGACATCAGTAGAAGTAAGGGACCAGAGGGAAGGAGGAAGAGAGGGAAAGGGAAAATATCATGGAATGATAATGGCCAAATTATATTGTTATACCGTGTGTATGAATACATATGTAGCAATAAATCCAACATTAATATATAATTATAGTGCATTGATGAAAAATGGAAAGAATTTTAAAAAGAGATACCAAAAATATTTTAAATTGCACTATGTAAATAATATTATGACATTATGAATAGGAATGCAGACTGAAAAGTTATTTCCCAATGCTACCACTCCATCAATTGCTTTTCTCTTTGTTTCCTCACAAACTTTTCCACAGAAAGATCTTAGTTTTATCTAATATATCCTTGACAGAGTTGTGTGATTAAACATATGAAACTTTCATTATATGAGAATTTTTCTATAACAGTGACCACTTGATATGCTTTAATCTAATGTTTTCAGCTTTAATTCAACACTTAGTCATAATATTGTGCTCACCATTATGCAGATTTAAAACTTGTTATGTTAATATATGTTAATATTCTATGAAGTAATAATAATAATAATAACAGGCATTCCTGATTCTACATCTGTGCATAATCACTCTGCTATATGGCATCAATTTTCAAAACCAGACTTTAAAAACTTTTCAAAGGGTTCTAATCACTCCAAAATGCTTTATTGCAATATTCATATATATGTATTTATTTTGTAAAAATTTACCAGCAACATTGATTGCCACCCACAGACATCAGGAATCCCTGCATGCACCTGCTCTTGGAATGAGCTAGACCAACTGCTCAGCTCATAGGCTACCCACTGTGCCCTTGAATCTCAGATCAGGACTCATTCCTTCCTAGGCAATCCCTTACATTTACATGAGGAGCTTGCAATGTTGAAAATCTATTTACATTGCAATTAATCCACATGCAGGATTAAACTTTTGGTTTGTTTGTGAGAATGTGGGGTAGGTGGCTACAGAAAACAAAGACTTCTTTGCGGGTAATGCTGGAAAGATTTGTACTCCCTTTCCCACACTCTAAATAATGTTAGAAAATCATGAGTAATAGATTCATTCAAACTGCAAGGAAGTGCACTGGATTTCCATATAACAAAATTAAACATTAATGAGCATTTCTTTAAACAGTGCTATATGGAAATGATTAAATGGATATTTTCATCACTGTTGTATGAGAACACATTGTAGAACTCTATCCATAGTCATCTTTGCATTCAGGAGTCTTCTGCCCTGTTTAGCTCAGAGCAAAAACTGTAATCAGATTTTCTGAGTGGGAATGCCACCCAAAATTCAGTGAATTGTAACCTTCTGAGCTCAAAAAAGTCACTTTTTCACTATAATCCCAACACTCAAAAATAAAAAGGAACTCTTCTTTACATTTTTCAAAGGTTATGGGAGTGAAAAAAATCTGAATATAAACATTATATATGTACAAGATTCCTAAAGTCACATCATATTTTCCCTTTTTTTTTTTTTTTTGGAAATTGAACAATCTGCTGGAACACTGGAACAACTCTTTCTTTTCTTGATACTCATATAATTTTTCAAGCATTTTCAATCACAATAACTTAGATGTTATTTACAAGCTCAGCCAGGGGATCTGTTTTTGTTGCTGTTATTGCTGTTTACATACATGGAACACGGGTTTTCATTTCTCTGGTTATACATCATGTAGAGTCACACCATTCAAGCAATCATACCCATACATAGGATAATAATGTCCATCCCATTCATCTTTCCCTCCATACACCTGTTCCCCTCCCCTTCCCTACCCTCTGCCCAATCCAAAGTTCCTCCATTCTTCCCTTCCGCTACCCCCCATTATGGATAAGCATCCATTTATCAGAGAAAATATTTGGCCTTTGTTTTTTTTTTTTTTTGCGATTGGCTTACTTCACATAGTATGATATTCTCCATCTCAATCCATTTACTTGTAAATGCCACAATGTAATTCTTTAAGGCTGAGTAATATGCCACCATGGATATTTCTTTTCTTTTTTTTTTTTTTTTTTTTTTTTCTTTTTTTTTTTTTGGTACCGGGGATTGAACTCAAGGGCACTCAACCACTGAGCCATGTCCCCAGCTGTAGTTTGTATTTAGACACAGGATTTCACTGAGTTGCTTAGCACCTCACTTTTGCTGAGGCTGGCTTTGAACTCACAATCCTCCTGCCTCAGCCTCCCTGGCCTGTAGGATTACAGGCATGCACCTCTGTGTCCAACTCCATAGTTTCTTATCTATTCATCGATTGAAGGGCATCTAGGCTGGTTCCACAGTTTAGCTATTCAGAATTGAGCTTCTATGAACATCAAGGTGAATGCTTCACTGTAGTGTGCTGATTTTATCTCCTTTAGGTACAGACCAAGGGATAACTGGGTCAAATGGTGGTTCTATCCCAAGTTGTCTAAGGAATCTCCATATTGCTTTCCAAAGTGGTTGCACCATTTTGCAATCTCACCAGGAGAAAAGACAGCCTCTTCAAAAAATGGCGCTGGGAAAACTGGAAATCCATATCCAGCAAAATGAAATTAAACCTCTTTCTCTCACCCTGCACAAAACTCAACTCAAAGTAGGTCAGTACCTAGGAATTAGACAGAGACTTTGCATCTAATAGGACAATAAGCAGGCCCAAATCTTTATCTCGGCAGCTTAGGACCTGACTTCCTTAACAAGACTCCTAAATTGCAAGAAATACAATCAAGAATCAATAAATGGGAGAGGTTCAAACTAAAAAGCTTCTTCTTCACAGCAAAGGAAACAAACAACATGAAGAGAGAGCCAGCAGGATGAGAGAAAATCTTTACCACATGCACATCAGATAGAGCACTAATCTCCAGGATATATAAAGAATTGAAAAAACTTAACACCAAAAAAAACAAATAATCTAATCAGTAAATGGGCTAAGAAAATGAGCAGACACTTCACAGAAGAAGAAATTGATCAACAAAGATATGAAAAAATGTTCAATGTTTCTAGCAATTAGAGAAATGCAAATTAAAACTTCTCTAAGATTTCATTTCACTCCAGTCAGAATGGCAATTATCAAGAATTCAAGCAACGATAAGTACTGGCGAGGATGTAGGGGAAAAGGGGACCTGTTTTAACAATATCTGGGTCCCTGACATCCTTATCAGTTGCTCCAATGCTTTTTTATTAGAAATTTTTTCTGCAAAGGGTTTCTGTGTGGAAGAGTCCCACCCAAATAGAATGACAGTACTGAGAATTCTCCCATTACCATAGGTGACAGTGCTATGACATGAATCCAGGACACCCATAGCTGTGCAGAGGCTCCTGTGTAAGTCCTCCCTGAAGCACAGGCAGTGGCTGCAGGTGCAGCTGCAGTTTGCAGACAGGCTGCAGGTCCCCTGGGAGCACTGTGCCTCTGCTGCACAGAAGTAGGTGCCTGAGTCTTCCAGCTGGGAGGTCGAGATGTGCAGGGTGCTGTAGCGCTCTTGAAAATTCAGTACTCCCTTTAACTTTCCCTCCTGCTTTGTCCCTGAAGTCAGATAAAACAGACTGATGAGGCTGCCCCCAGGATTCTGTCGAAACCATTGCACACTTTGCATGGTGGTGGAAAAATTGCACCTCAGAGTGGATCTGGCTCCCTCCTGGAGCGTCAGGCCTGAAGGACTCTGCTCCACCTGCTGCCCTCTCACCCCTGTTTGGAAAGAGAAAAGCAAACTCAGTTGGTGTCACTGGGGAATCCATGACCAGTTCACAAACCTGTAGAATATCCCAGGAAACACCCTGAGGATGGAGGACAGGGAGGGGGCTTGGTGCCAGCTCTGCCTGCCCTCCCTCACACTGTCAGCCCTACAACACCCCCAGCCCCATCTGGGAAGAATCCGGCTCACAGCAAAGCTGCACCCACAGAAGCCCCAGCAGAGCCCCCAGTCCCCTCTGCATGGCTGCTGGCCTGGCTGCTCTTCTCTCTGCTCTGCAGGTGTCAGGTCTTGGGCCAGACAAGCTTGTTCTTCCAGGCAACAGGTTCCACCTGACTCCCTGAGCACCAGTCACATCTGAGCTCTGTCCTTCCCCTAACAGGGAGCTCCACCCCCAGTAGCCCAGGGAGACCACAGTGGTGGCTCCAGAATTGTGTGAAGACAGTGCAGGGGGTAGGGGGCCATGTTTTCAATGAATGAAGTCTCAACTCACAGGAAGAGTAAGCCCATTCCTTATATTCTGTGGTTAATAGGGAATTTGAGAAATCAATTATATGAAAATTCTTATCAAAGAAACTATTTGATAGCATGCAATGAGCGTTAAGAAATAAAAAAAATTTCATGAAATGAGGATCTTCATCTACATTGAAAATGTTTCCAACAAGAGTTTCATTGGTCTAAAGGAAAAGAGGTTATGCCTATGGTGTCCACTATGTTTTATTCTCTACTTCTCCCCTTCTGCTATCCAGCCCCTTCCCTCACACCCTGCAGGCCACAAATTGCTGCCCATGTCATTATTGCCCTGTCCCTTTCTTCTTCTGCCTTTAGTCTTCATTTTTCATTTTTTCTTCTTGCCTATTTTTTGTTCCTTCTAGTCTCAAAGAAAATATATAAAAAGTTTTGCTATCAAGAGTATTGGAATAATTTCTACATCAGTGTATTTTGAGAATTTCTGTAATAAAACAAAAAAAAATGAGACCAGGTACAACTGATATTTTCTAATGGATCTCCATCCTTATATGCCAAGTAAAATTCCAATTTCTTAATCTCTGCTCAGAAAATCATCCTTCCAATGAATTTACAGATATGAGTTCCAATAAATATCGTTACAGTCTCCAGCTTTCCGAGATTTCATGTAGAATGGCAAAGCTGAAGACCTGAGATGAACTTTCACAAGCAGAAGATGCCCCCTTGCCATTCTCTAGTCTCACTAGAAATCCACAGAAATTATTCCTCCTGCAGCCTGGAGTGCCCCCTGGTGGACTGATTCCATTAATGTATGCCACTTAAGACCAACCAAGTCCTCAGCAGTCATTCAACCCAGCCCCACTCACTCTATGGTACCTGGTTCAGGAAATGCAGATGGTCAAAGAATAAAATGACTGTCTAAAGTCAGTGGAAATAAACATTAACCACTTTCACGAGTGGTCATAACTTAGTGGTAGAGCAAATGACACAAGCCTCCGGGTTCAAACCCCAGCCAATTAAAAAAAATGAAAATGAAAAAAAAATTTTGAAAACTTTTAGAACAAGTTTTATGGAATTTTCTGCATAATACTTTTTTTTTGAACCTGGGGATTGAACCCATGGGTGGTCAATCACTTAGCCACATCCCCAGTCCTTTTTGTTTTCTTTTTCTTTTTCCTTTGTTTTCTTGTGTTTTTGTTCATTTTTTTTTTGTTGTTGTTGTTGTTCTTTTTAGATATATATAACCATAGATTGTATTCTGACATATTATACATATATGGAGTATAACTTCCCATTTGTCTGGTTGTACATGATGTGTAATTACACTGGATGTGTATTGATATATGAACATATGAAAGTAATGTTTGGTTCATTCTATTATCTTTCCTATTCCCATTCCTCTTCCCTTCCCTTAATTCCCTTTTGTCTAAACCAGTGAATTTCTGTTTTTTCCTACCCACCTCCCTTATTGTGAATTAGCATTTGCATATCAGAGAGAACATTTAACCTTTGTTTGGGGGGGTTGGATTATTTCACTTAGCATGATAGCTTCCAGTTCCCTCTATTTACTGACAAATGCCATAATTTCATTTCTCTTTATGGCTGAGTAGTAGTCCATTGTGTATTAATACATTTTCCTTATTCATTCATCTGCCAAAGGAAACCTAGACTGGTTCCACAGTTGAGCTATTGTGAATTGAGCTGCTATAAACATTGATGTGGCAGCATCACTGTAGTATGCTGATTTAAGTCCTTTTTGGTATATACTAAGGAGTAGGATAGCTGGGTCAAATGGTGGTCCCATTCCAAGTTTTCTGAGAAATATCCATACTGTTTCCAGAGTGGTTGTGCCAATTTGTAGTCCCATCAGCAATGTATGAGTGTACCTTTTCTCCCACATCTTCTCCAACATTTATCATTACTTGTATTCTTGATAATTGTCATTCTGACTGGAGTGAGATTAAATCTCAGAGTAGTTTTTAAATTGCACTTCTCTAATTTCACTTCCCTAATTGTTCATAAATATATTGACATTTTTTCACATATTTGCTGACCGATCATATTTCTTCTTCTGTGAAGTGCCTGTTCAGTTCCTTTTCCCATTTTTTGATTGGGATGCTTGGGTTTTTTTGGTGTTAAGTTTTTTGATCTTGGCAAGGATTGTCTTCCATTCTGTAGGCTCTCTGTTCACATTCTTGATTGTTTCCTTTGCTATGAAGAAGCATTTGATTTTGCATCTGTCCCATTTGTTGATTCTGATTTTACTTCTTGTGTTTTAGGAATCTGGGTTGGAAGTTGGTTCCCAAGCCAACATGATGTACATTTGGTCCTACTTTTTCTTCTGTCAGTTGCAGCATCTCTGGTCTAATGCCTACGTTCTTGATCCACTTTGAGTTATTTTTTTAAATATTTTTATTAGTTATTGATAGATCCTTGTTGTATTTATTTAGGTATATGTGGTGCTGAGGATCGAACCCAGTGCCTCACACATGGTAGGTAAGTGCTCTACCACTGAACCACAACCCCAGCCCGAGTTATTTTTATTTTGAGACAGGATCTCACTAAATTGCTGAGGCTGGCTTTGAGCTTGCAATCCTTCAGCCTCAGTCTCCTTAGCCTCCAGGATTATAGGCCTGTGCCATCACCCCCAGCTTGTAAACTACATTTTAAAACAAGTTAGTAGTTATCCTAGAATATTCATCCGATTTATCTAATTCAGTTCAAAATAAATCAACTTCAATCACATTTTACTAATAGTGAATAATAAGTGTATTTAAAATGGAGGAAACACTAGTTAAATTCTATAGGAAAAGACAAAAAAAACCCATATCTGTAATATAATCAAAGTGTAGGACCCTGAGAGGAGGATGAAGTGAAGGTGAATGATCCCAGAGACTGGAGAAGCACTTATTTAGGAGATACTCGAACAAAATCTTCTGTAGAAGGTGAACAATTTCTCCTCCCTTCTCTGCCTTGATATGAGGATAGACAAGAATATGAATAACCCTCGATGCTAGCTTTTATGACTTTTCATCGTGTTTAAGAGAAATTCACGAATACAGGAATTATTGAAAGTCATAAAACACTACATATGGACCAAAGTCCCCTCTGACTTCCCCTACAATCCTGGCCCTTTCATCACTCATCACTCCAACTCTCCATTCATCTTTCAATTTGCAGGTGAAGCTCCCAGGAGTTTTACTGTAAATCTACATCATCTACAAATATGTAAAACAACAGACAATACATAGTATTCCATTAATAATTTTTTACTTGATGCAATATGATACACCCTGTGCATAGCTTTCTGTAACTGGTTTTATGAACTCAATAATAAATCCTGTAGGTATCCTCACATCAGCAGAGATAGGTTCTGCTGCTGCCTAGCACCACATCACAACTTGTCTAGTTTGTGCTGTACTTCCTTTGTTGACGAACACTCCAGCTGTTGTTGGTTATTTGCTATGAAACATAACATGGCAGTAAACTGTGCAAGGCATTCCTCTTTAACCACATGTGGCCATTTTACTCTAGGTACAGAGACAAGGAAGAACTAAAAGGAAGGAACATGTGGCCAGCAGGTGAAAAGCATCAGGAAAGTGGGAAGCCCAGGGACAATGGCTGACAGGAGGAAGAGAATGGATTGATGTTCTGATTATTGTGTGGATGGCTTTTGTGTTTATTGCTTTTGTTATTTGTACATTGGAGCTGTGGCTTTTCAGCACATTAGATAAACTCTGAAGTTACTGTCCTAAAAAAACCCTGGTGTGTAGTTTCTACCAACCAGTCACTGAGATGATTCTAAAGATACTAACTCAGGTAGGGAAGAAGTAGAATGTGCAAGGAGAAAATGCAGTAGATAGAATAACACTGTGGAAATAAAAATAATAATAATGTAGGGCATAGAAAAATATATAGTGTTTATGTGATTACATACATGTTTATTTAGTCATATAAATAACTTAAGAGTAGTTATCATAAGAACAGAAATATTCTCTAAGTTTTCTAAAATATTAAAAAGTTAAAAACTGATAAATAAATATGAAACAGTTTAGTGTCAAGGGAACAGAGAACAAACTTTTAAAATAAAGGTAAAAGCCAAGAATATACCAAGCAACTTAATCCAAACCCATCAATGCACAAAAATATCTGATTGAATCTTATATAATGCTTTTCATCAGCAATGTAAGGACAATAATTCCCAGCTAATGTTGTTCTCAAGTTTTGTTCAATTAATCAACAGTTATTGAATCAAAACTAAAAATCTTGCCTACATACTGCTTGTGAAAAGCTTAAAGTGAAATAACCAGGAAAGCAGAACATATAGAATGTAACTCTTCCTGGTGCCCCTGTGTGTGAGGACTGGAGCCACATCCTCCATCCACATCCACTAAACTCACTGCAACCAATAAAGAGATGTCCCATAAGAAGGCCCATTCTGATGGTCGAGGAGGAGTTCAGGAGAACAGCAAGTCACTCAGTTGCATTATTAGCTCCTGCAGAGGAGCAGTCTGTGCCCACAGGGTGAAGAATGATGAAGGTAAATGAAATTAGCATTCAGACAGAAAACAGAATTAGGAAAGACAAGAAAACAAAAGGAAACAAAATACCATGAATAACTGAAGAGTTACCTTCAAAAGAAGGGAAAGTAAAAAAAATGGGAAAATTCCATCTACTAAGATAGCAGAGGACAAAGAAGCCACATCAAAATAGGAGCTTTTAGATTTTTATCACTCATCCCTCTACTTCCATTATTTTTCAATTTAGAATGTTTTAAGAATTATTCAATGCATGCACCAGAAATTCATAGAATATTGGATCAGGGAGGCTTTGACAAGCGCTCAGAGGGCTATTATGGACTGAATTCTGTCTCACCAAAAATGGTGAAGCCCTGA